GCCAACCTAGTCTAACTTTCCACAATCCCAGCTCTAATCAAGCCTACTCCGCATCCTCATCACCTCCTCATAATTATCAAACCTCAAATAATTCGCTATTCAATAATTTTGATATCTCTTCTCTCGTACAACTTATTATTTCTACAATCATGCAATTCAATAACTCTTCCAAAGTTATGGACTCAACAAATAAGAATACTCTTAACCCCCTAAACATATAAAATTCACTAATAACGTTAAGAAACCTGTGAATAAGAAACCGTTTTTCAATTGCATGCAGTGGAACTGTAGAGGTTTGAGAGGTAAATTACCCTACTTATCTGACTTTTTTACCGACTATGATCTTGTCTGCCTACAGGAAACTTTGTTAGACTGCCACACTTCGTTCTCGCTGCCGGGATTCACATGTGTTAGAAAGGATATTTCTTCGAATGGCCAAAGGGGCCTCTGTTTTTTAATCAGGAATCACATCGACTTCCACGTTCTCGATTTGAGTCATATCTCGCATCAGTCATTGGAGGTGCAGGGTATAAGTATTCTCCTAGATAGTCAATGCATAAATATTATCAACATATATCGCCACCCAGGTAACTTAACTCCCAGAGACATATTTAAGGATTTATTTGATGCTTTTGGGCAAAATGCTGGATCTCTTTTCATGGGCGATCTTAACGCTCATCATCTGGCTTGGAAATGTGACTCCTCTGATGCTACGGGAAATGCGCTGCTGTCGGTTATAGAAGAATTGAATGTCATCATTCTTAACGACGGCTCACCTACGCTTATCCAACCTCCGAATCGAAGAAGATCTGTTATTGATCTATGTATTGCTACTTCTAACTTAGCTATGTTATGCTCATCTAACACATTGACTGATTCGGGATACAGTGACCATTTACCAATCCAGGTCAAAATGGGCGGTTCTCCAGATATCAGATCCAGGTTCTGTTACAAGATTAATTTGAGTAGAAAGGAACACATTGAACTTGGATGCGTTTTGGAGAGTTCATCTATTCCACCCACATGTTCCCCCTCCACTCAGCCTCTTAAAACCTATGAGGAATTGATTAACATCGTAAAGCAAGGCATCGAAAAGGTAGCACCCAAAAAAGCCAAACAACCGAGAGTGTTCACTGGATGATCGTCGGAAGCAACCACCTTGGTGGAGCGATATTTGTCGAGACACGGTAGCGGCTAGGAAATTGGCTACTGCAGCGTATAAAAGGACCCCTTCTTGGGAAAATTACTTGTCGTATAAGAAATAATGCGCTGTTACTACTAAGATACTTCGCAAGGAAAAAAGGAAGAGCTGGAAGGAATTTTGTAACAGCTTCAATCATCGTACCCCTTCAGCTAGATTATGGTCGCTAGTCAAATCCTTCAAAAATAAAAACCTCAATAAAGAGGGTTTAATAGTTGACCCGGTTAGCTTTGAATTGTCATGCGAAAATGCCATTAACAAACTCTGCCCCCCGTCTTGCTTGCAATTTAATTACAAATCCCTTTCTGAAATGATCACCGAGGACAACAATAATTACTCGAACTAGCACGTGAAATAGATATTCCAATCCTTAGACGAGAATTAGACATAGCAATCAAGGAATCTAAGATCAACGCCGCTCCTGGTCTTGATCAGATCAGTAATCACATGATCCACGATTTTCCTGATCACCTAAAGGAATCTCTTGTGAAAATCTTTAATGGTTTCCTTGATTTAGGAGTTATACCGGAAGAGTGGAAGCGATCGCTTGTCGTTCTTATTCCTAAACCCGCTGGGGGAGGCGTTAGACCAATCTCCCTGTTCTCATGCCTGCTTAAAGTTATGGAGAGGATAATATATAACAGACTCAGATGGCTTGTCGAATCTTATTTGATTTTGCCTAATTTTCAATTCGGATTCCGTCCCTCCAGATCCTGCACGGACAATTTGATCACCTTCTCGAACCACATACACGCCTCTAACATTTCGGGAAAATTTACAGTCAGCATTTTTATTGACATTGTGAGCGCATTCGATAATGTTATTCCTGACATTCTTATGGATACCTTAAGGAAACTTGGTATTCCTGCCAAGATTTGTAATTTCATCCAGAACTTGGTCATGGAAAGAAAACTCTTCTTTACTAGAAATGGTAAAATTAGTGAGCCTTTCACCACACACAAAGGTACTCCTCAGGGTTCAATACTCAGCCCAATCTTATTTAATTTGTACCTTCACGACATCGGATCTGCTATAAAAGACGGTGTTAATATTTTGATGTACGCAGATGACCTGGTTATTTTTACCTCTGATACCAGTCTTAACACAGCTATCACCAGAATACAGGACTCTATTGACTCGCTTTTTACTTACCTTCAGAATAAGGGATTGGATATTTCACCGACTAAGTCCCAATGTATGATCTTTTCAAAAAAAAGATCGATTGTTGAATTCCATCCACCCAATATTAATGGGCGTGATATCCCTGTGGTAGACAGATGTAAGTTTCTAGGTATATGGTTTGATAGGGCAATGACGGGTAAAGCACATTTGAAATATCTTATAGAAAAAGGCAGAAGAGTGATTAATATTATGGCATCTTTGGCCGGTGTGTGGTGGGGCTCTCACCCCCAAGCTCTTTTAACTATTTATCGTGCTGTTTTCAGAGGCTCCGTCGAGTATGGATGTCAAGTCTTTCAATTCAAAAGGAACAAAAGTGTCTTTAAATGTCTGGAACGTCTGCAATGAAGAGCTATCCGTATAGCCTTCGGTTATCGCATTTCTACCCCTATAAATTTAATGTAGCCGAGACGCACGAAGCCCCACTAAGTATTAGATTCAACTACTTAACATCCAAATACTTAATTAAGAACTTCTCGAAGAGTGGCAGTCTCCCAATTGAAAGTCTAAAAAACTTGGAAGATATCTCATATAATTATCGACGAAGACTAACTGCATACCAGAACGTACCCATATTTAAGAAATACATCCTTTTCAAACATATGAATAAGGAGATTAAGTGCTCCAGGTTTCTACCTCCATATCTGTACCCCTATATGGTCACTACAACGACAATTACTTACGATGAAGTTGTGACAGAAATAGATGAACAAACCTCTAACGAGTATATCCTCGGACAGTTCCAGGAATTTATTGCACCAATTATCCAGGAAGGCTACGTCTGCTTTTACACAGACGGATCTAAATTCGACCAGGATGGACTCACTGGAGCAGGTATCTTCTCACCTACACTACAATTGGAAATTGCACATCGACTCCCTTCCAGCGTATCCGTCTTCACAGCTGAAGCTTGGGCTATTCTGGCAACTTTGAGGTTTATCCTCGACAACAACGCTCCCAAAGCAATCATCCTTACGGACTCAAAAAGTGTTCTTGAAGCTATTGCCTCCTCAAGATTGGACATTGGAAACTATTTAATTTTTGCCATCAAGAATCAAATTCATCTTACCTCCGAGGCAAATCTTCACGTCAGGTTCGCTTGGATTCCCTCTCACAGGGGCATTGCAGATAACGAGACTGCAGACGACCTTGCCAAAAGCGGCGCCAAACAGGGAGACAGAATAGACTTAGAAATTCCATATACTGACATATTTCCAGAGGTCAACAGTACCATTTCAAAACAATATAACTCCTACCTTGACCAAGAATTTCTTAATAAAGACCTACACTATGATCATTTATATCGACTTCAGACAGTCAAAGTATGGTTTGACAAACTACCTATCAATAGAAGGGAAATAGTAATAATTAATCGTATACGGGCTAATCACTATAACCTCAATTATAGCTTGCACAGAAAAAATATAGTAGCTTCCAAGGCCTGCCCTTGTGGAGATCCCAAACAGGATATCAATCATATAATTTTTCATTGTCCTATCACTACACCGAAAGCAAGACATCTAATAATTTTTTGTAATACCACATCTAACAGGTTATCCTTTCCTCGAAATGACATCTTCCCTCTCCTCAAAAAACCATCCCCTAAATTATGCCGACTACTCCTTGCATTCATCCAATCTAATAACTTAACAATCTAATTCTCATATCCCTGGCTGGGCTCGCTTCCGCGTACCCGCCAACGTTCAAATCTTAAAGCGGGATTTATTCCCCCCACTCCAAACGCTTAGCACTCAATAAGCCAATTAATAGCGTTTTCGGCCCGATCGGGTTTGCACCAACCTGGGTTGGATTAATCTTTCCTATTGGTTGATGTCACACGCTCTACCAATAGGAGAGCGCAAAACGCCATTAATCCAAACTAGGTTGATGCAAACCCGGTCGGGCCGAAAACGCTATAAGTTACTCGCCGCCATTATTGCGGCCATATTCGATACTGGCCGTATCGACGCTGAATGCCATCTACATCATCGGGGCCATCTACATCAAGAAGAAGAAGAAGAATATTCATGCAAAAAAATTTTTTACCGGGAGTGGAATATGCAAATTAAATCATAAACATATACAATCATATTATTCAAAATATTTACATAAACATCCAATAAACATTTCGGATTCTCTACAAACCATCCTCAGTGAATATTTTGACTTCCAATTTGAACTCGAAAAACATTGACTTCGATAAGTCAATTTAATTTGCAGATACATTGTTCACTGATGATGGCCTAAAACGTTTGAACGTTTATGTGAATTTTGAAAAAAATCGAAAAATAAAAAATCAACGAATAATCATCATATAATAATAATAATCATGCATAAAATAATAAAAAATTGACAAATATAATCATATGAGTACATGATCGACGCTCGGTTATACATCACATTTTATTGCGATGCTGCTGCTCCTGTTGACTAGGTGTCGACGGCGTTCCTCATTGCAGCGGTTAACTTGTGACGACGTGATAACTGTGGACAACTGGAAATAACCTGAAATAACCTCGTGTTGCCCCGTGCGAGGCAACTCCGTGTGCTCGGTGTATTATGCGGTGGCCAAGTTATAACTATTTATAAAACCAGCTCGCGACTGGTATACTTCCTTTAAGATGATAGAGCAAATATTACTCGTGACAAATCGGGCGTATTTTGCTGTTGCGTCTTTCAGAATTAATTGAGATCTCGGATACCTTGTCGCCTCCAATGGAGCGGTCCTGTTTATGAGACTTCCTCCTACCGATACATTAAGCATGGTAAATTTAACGATGAAAACAATGAAAACAATAAAAATATGTGTCTTACAGAAATCACATGTTCCAGTTTTATATTGATTGTTTAAAAATTTTTCATTTCTTTAAACGTATCTTTTGGACTTATCTCTTCTCTATGTTTATGTCTTGTATTTAATTTTGTGTTTAATGACATTTCTTTCAGGCTCTTCTAGGAGCTCAATTGGTCATCACTCTTGTAATGGTCAGTGTCATACAAAAGTTGAGTCCACATTTTTCCTTTGCTAGATGGATCTTATGTTCCACAGGGTATATATCTTCATGTATAATTATAGAAATAATGGACAGTAATAGCATGGTAAGATCTATCATCTCTGTTTTTCTGTTTGCACAGATTGACACGATATCTGTATCCAACAGATCAACAACTCAGAGCATTAGCCGGTGTGCCGAAAGAGAAATCAAAGAGAGGAAAACACAGCGAGAATGGCAAAGTGGGAGATGTGTTTCACGTCCCTAGAAATTTAGATATCAAGCTTGAAGGTGCAAAAATAAGTATTCTCGATGTAGTGAATTTAAAATATTATACGGAATATCAGTGGCTATTGGACTTCTCTGTATATGCTATCATTGTTTATATACTAACAGAGGTTAGTACTCTTTAATTGTTGCTCTTTAATTAATACAAATATTTGTTTATATGAACAAAAATACTTACACTCTTTAATGGCAGTGTGTTAACTAGTATTTATATTTTGTACAGTTGATCATGTTTTATAATATTGTCTAAAATTTCTCCTTTATCTCAACAGGTGTACAATTATTTGTATCCAATCAAAGATGAAATTAATCTCAGTATACTTTGGTGTGTGGTGGTTTTGGGCTTTGCATTGTATCCTTTGAATTAAAATTTTGAACAGAAAATATGTAAAATTTTCTATTTTCTAAGGAATGAAAAAAATGTTACATTGCTTCCTTATGTAATTTATAGTAAAGTGCTACTTTCCCTTTGGATACAATATTTCAAGGGTGAAGAGAGTGTTGGTGAAAGGTCCACATGCATCGTTACTGGATTTGCATATCTTCTTATTGCAATGATGGTACTAATAATTGATGAAAATAAGTTGGAAATTGGATTGGAAAAAGCATACACGAGTTTCAATCATAGTGCTTCTCATTTTTTAGATACTCAAGGACTTTCTTCGACGTAAGTTTAATTAAATACTTGAATAAATAATTTTAAATCTGTTTCATTGGTTATATAAGATATTGTTAGTGAAAGAATATTTCAACAATAGAACTTTATCGTCAACTTTAAATACATTTTTTAAGAATAATTTAATACAATCTATCTAATATTAGAGATTAAATAATAACTATTTCTATTATTGTAAGTAATGTTTTTGTTTTTGTTACACACACAATAACGTTACTAATTATATATTTAATATAGGGGACCAGCCTCAAAAATTGTTCTAAAGTTTTTTCTTGCTATATGGTGTGGTTTATTGGGATCTTTGTTTACTTTCCCAGGATTAAGAGCGTCAAAAATGCATTGGGATACCTTGAGGTAAAATAAACTCAATTATTTAATTGAAATATTGAATGCTGATTAGTATATATGGAAATAATTACAGGTATTATAAAGATAATAAGTTATTAGTGCTAATAGCAAATATTAGTTATGCCTCGCCACTTTTGTTGGTAAGCCTATGGATTACACCTATAAGTAGGGATTATTTGACTGTTAGAATATTCAGTGGCATGACTGCTCCATTGTAAGTTGACGCTGAGAGAAAATAACAAATTAATATCTAAATAAATTGGAAAAAATTGAAAAATTTTTATTGCAGAATGACAGTAGCAAGGTTTGAAAGTTTGAGATTGATGATTATTGTTGTTGCCAGTTTATTAAAAATTGTGCTCATGCCAATATATCTACAATCTTACTTAAATCTCGCCATTCAGAGATTAGAGATACAAAAGAAAGAAGCTGGCCGAATAACTAATGTTGATTTGCAGAAAAAGGTTTATGTCATAATATTATGAAATTATATAATTATTTTAACTGAAAACTTTGTTTTTTTGCTAAATAACAAGTTTCCTTTATTGTTGCAGATTGCAGCTGTATATTATTATCTATGTGTAGTGGCACTTCAATTTGTTGTTCCCATAATTATATGTTTATTTTTTACGTTTTTGTACAAAACACTTGGTATGAAAAATATTGTGAAATATATAATTTATTTACGAAATATATACTTATTTTTTAATTATATCAGGTGGTTTTACCTGGGAAGGCATCTTAAAAGGAACGTTGGAGGAAGAGTGCCCAGCGGATGAATTACCGAAGTCACTATCATTTACAGTTAATATTGATAATATCGACAAGACTGTTATACAAACTGCTGAAGAAGTTCAACTCGCGCTAGGTTCATTGAAACAAGTAATGTCTTAAGATATTTGTTTAAAAATATTAAATTTTATCACAGAAACTGACAAAGAAAATGTCTTGTTTATTACAGATATTTACCACAGATGTGTACAGAGGCATCTTAGGACTAGCGACGTGGTGGAGTTGCTTCGCATTATTATCGACCAGTGCCATGGGCATGTTTTATCAGTCGTACTTCTCGAACATGTGAAATGATTTGTTGGGGGACAAAATCCAGATGTTACAACGCACAAATTTTCATTAATTCACAGATCAACCATTCATTAGGCATATAGCGTTGTTCATTGAGATACATATTTTCAGATTATCTATTTTAACGTCTATCGCCAAATAATTAAGATAACGGCTATTGATAACGTAAGATTTTGTAATGCATATGGCAATAAGTAGTACTACTTATTGCCATATGTTGTATTGTAAATAAAGACATTCTGGGACTTAAATCAAAACTATAATCGTATTAAAAACATGATTATAGTATAGTAACGTGTAACGTGTATTTACGTAATATACAAATAAAATAGAATTAAATTGCAATGTTGAATATTGTTTGCAATTGTTTGTTATTTTCATCAAATATATTGAAGATTATAATAAAAAATATACTATTAAAAGGATATCTTATATTCGCAGTATAAAATAAATATTCCCTATGATAGAAATGTGATTATCATTACCGATTAGATACTTGAAATTCTATAATCGTTCATCACATCGCAATTAATACTCATCATACGCCCACACTATTGTTGCATTAAGCATTTCGAAAGTGACTTTCACCGTTATCAGTGATCTTGATCTTGGAAGAAATTATTTTGTTTGTAGTCTCAATGTAAAAAATACTAATTTTTTTCTGCCGTTAAAAATAGATGATACACTGGTTGCGAGAACCTTGTCATTCCATGGTTTTCGTCTCTCATATTTTAAGCAAACTATTACACATCTGATTACGATTCATGGATTGTTCGACATTTTATATCCCGGAGAAAGTGTCTCGATAAAATGATGTCGATCGGATGCATCTCACGTTTCGCCCCAGCCGTTTCCGTGGTATATAGCTCCCCATGAGGTTTCATCGCGCCGTAATACCGTCGTGATTTTTGCCAGCAATAATACTGTTCCTCTTCATTGTACGTT